CCTGCGAATAGAGCACACATTTAATCCTCTTCGTAAAAGAAAACGATCATTAGCGTGTTTGAATGTGGGGATGAACTGACGGTTTGTGCATGCCCTCCAACAGAACACTGATCATCCTTTTCAGGCGGTCGGAGAGCGAGGAGGCCCCCCGGATCGGCCCCCCGATTTTGCTGTGCACAATAAGCAGCACTTCGTTCACCGTCTCCCACTGTCTGAGCTGCCGCTGAATCTCCTCTAGACGGTATTCGTCCATCACCCAAGTCTTAAAAAAAAGAAAGAAAAAAAAGAATGAAATGTAAAACCCACCAAACATTCATTTACACTTTTGGATTTAAGTTTGTGTCTAATATTTTCTGTATGATATTAGACAGACCTAAATCAAATAATCAGATATACTAGGGAATAGATTACCTCAGGCACCAGTGTCTTAGAAAAGTCCCATGTGAGAAAGCGCAGGCAGGCAGTATTCAGGATTTGGATGGGACCGGGAAGTGGCGGCTGACCGTTCCCGGCATTATCAGGTTTCTCTGGAGGGACTCTGGCCAGCAGCAGCTCCTCCAGCGCCGACTGGATCCAGGAGGTGGTGCGGGTTAAAGCAGCTGGAAAACAAGCCAGGTTTTGGTTACAACTTTGTGATGCGTTTCTTTTACAAAGGTCAAAATGATTAATCCTATTTTTTTTTAACTCACTGGGTAGATCATCCAGGATGCTCTGAAAAAGTTGCCTCTGGTATTCAACTCCGTTCCTCTGCAGAATAGGCCTCAGGATTTCAATTGTACTGTTGACGTTATCCAATTTCATCAGATCCAGAACTCGGAATATCTCCCTTATGAGCACGAGGAGAATCAAACTGAAATTAATTGGTCACAATTTATTTCATTAAAACACATAAAGCCAGAGGGTTTTATTTACTTCAGTAGTGTCACTATGTTATCTGTGCTTTCTCGTAGCTTCCTGATCTCTTCGTCCCTCACTGGTGCACACATCTTCCCCATGGTGGAAATAATGTACGATGCGAGTCCCTGGATGTCCAAGGCATCGTTTTCAGCCTGCTGACGAATGAGGTCCATGTCCAGCACCTCCATGATCTGGGTCCGCATCTGATTGGCACCCCGGTTGAGGAACAACAGCAAGATCTGTCCAGAGAAGACAAAACATTCAGTTCAAGTGTTATTTTATGCTGACAAAATGTGTTTTAGTTTTCATTTAACCATTAACGTCCAGTTTTCACCAACCTCTCTGATGTCCTCTACTAGTTTAATGGCATGTTGATATTCAGGTGGGTCTTCGTTCAGCTCAGTCTCCAGTTTGTCCCAAAAGGCCTTGTAGAGATTCTGTCTTACTAGATTCCATAAACTATAAAGAAATAAACATTTTACCTTACAGAATGCAGGGAATACAAAGGAACATCCTATGATGAAGTACACCTTCCTACACAATGGGGAGATTTTTATCGAAACAATCCCTGACCATATAGTTCTTTCATGTCTTCTTCACTACTATACTCTCGAAAAACATATTTTCAGTGGGAAAAGCACCTGTTCTGTGGTCCTTGACTCAGTTCCGCACCAACGTCTCCAACGACAATCTCATGTACAAGTTTGAGATTGAAAAGGTCTCGCCCGGCCTCCATGACTTCGTCTCGAGGAAGTATTCTGGGCGGACTCGCTGCCGGAAAAAAACCCACAGGATTATTGAAGCTGCGTGACAACGATCAGGACAAGGTCAATCGCTGAAACAATTACCATTGCAAAAAAGAAAAAGAAAAAAGACAACATTAGCAAATGCTTCTCTTGTAAAATCAAATTTTCCAACACAAACTTTCGACTTTGTGGACAAAACAAGGAAAAGTACAAGAAATTAATCGAGGGGGAAACAAAGGAAACAGTCATGCATTTGCAAATAAGTATCAAAACCTCAGATAGCTAACTTACACGAAGGTGTGCAGTGTTTGCTGGAGCCGTCGCTGTTGAAGCTGTCCCGGGAGCAGTCCAGGTCGCTGGCCAGCGACGACTCCGCGTCACTTCCTTGGTCCTCACTTCTGGAAGTGGAAGTGGGTTGCTCGTTATTTAGAGGCATCCTGGCTTCCAGCTGCAAATGAGAAAACAAAACACATTTTGTCTCAGCACAACCACAAACTCTTTTCTTCATGGGACAGATCAACAGGCAGCAGCAGATTATTTTCAACTGGAAGGAAGTGATACGCGTACCGCAGTCGGAGGGGGAGAGGGGTTGTTTTCGTTGTCAAGGTTACGACTGCGACAAAAACACCAGCTACACAACAGCTGGCAGGCTGGTCACCATGGCTACACAGATATATATCAGTGTCACCAAAATGCCCCACTAAACTGTGACAATGAATGAGGTAATACTTTTAGGAGAACGAAGAGTTGACAAAACGACCCAATCGAAGCGATCGCGTTACACCTGACCGTACACCAGCTGTTCTGCACTTGCAAATATTATCACTTCAACGAGGAACAATTATTCTTTTAATATCAGCAAAGACATGCTGGACTGTAAAGGCAGGGCTGCTTCTCTTCCTGGCCTCAGTTATCTGCAGCCAAAAATGACTACAGGCTCCACTCTTGCAGTTTAAAGATAGCTCAAGGGGTGAGGATGAAAGGAGGGAGGGGGGTCAGGGCACAAGACTAATTTCTGCAAATGATCATCAGCTGAAATTGACAGCTGGGTCCAATAAAGCAGCACATGTTTTAAAAGATAATCTAATGGGATTGAGTGGAGAGAATTAAGGATTAGGTGTCATCTGCTGTATTTTTTATGTAAGCAATCTGAGTCCATGTAAGACATTAGATCATAACAATCCTAAACTTCATAAAAAAGCAAAATTATTATTATATTTTTTGATGAAGAAGTGTGTTTAAAAAAACAGAAATTGCTCATCAAGTACACATTGTGATAACAATTTATAACTGACACATTTGGACAAAAAAAGAAACCAAAACAAAAAAAATGGGGGAAACATCTAGAAAAAAAATATGTAGAAAAACATAAAAATACAAACTACATTTTAAAGAATGTTTCTAAATACAAGTTTACATGTGATAACTTACAGCATAATTAGTGCATTAAACAAATATCAACATGTATAGATATAAATATATTCAGAATTAATAAAAAACAAAGAAATATGTAACTGCTTATAATTAAATTCTTTATTTGTTAAAAATAATAAATCATAGTATTTAATTGTCGAAAGTATAATTGTTATTTGATTAGTGAACGTGCATAACCTACTGGTCTGCAGACCAATCACTTTGTGCCTTATAGTGTAAGCCCCGCCTACTGACAGCCGAAAATAAATTCAGGATTTTTCTGCAATAACGGACTATTAAATGCATGAATTACTGAAATAATTTATATAATGCATATTTTGAATATTAATAGGTCGTGTTAGTTACTAAACTATGCATTTTATTCCCTACTTGTTTTGATTTAGCTTGAAATAAAAATAATTCCGGCAGTTTCAGCCCTCGGTTATGAAAAAAAGAGAAGAAGAACATCAACCTTAGCTCTAAATATGAGCGCAGTGCAATGTAAACAAAGTCTTGGGAACGGGAGGTTGGGCTAGCTGCACAGAAACGTCTGCAATTGGCTATTGGTGCCTGGCACTCATCCTGCCATGGAAAACCTTTGGTTGCAATAAATAAAACATCCATACACCCGTAAGAAATGAGTACACGTGATCCTCCTGACCAAAACAAGAACCTTGTGTACGTTTGTGACAGTCTAGTCGATTAAAATACTCAGATTGTGCACAGACTGAAGACATTCCGTTCAAGTCGACAAGATCAACTCGAAGCGACCTGTCAAACACAACAACCTTGTTTACATCAAACTGTAGCTTGCTATAGAGTCGGTGTAACGGCTAAAGTTTGATCATATTGTTAGCATCGACGGGTTCGACTTTAGCTCGAAATGTGTACTTTATTTCCGCTCTGAAACAACGCGACACTCGGTGTTAAAAGTCAACGTCGTCAAGAAATGCCGACTTAATCAGATGTAATGTCGAAGACTTGTCGAGCACATTTCATAATGATAGACATTTACCTTACAGAAGTCTCTAGAAAAGAAGACAGACACCGTTGAGTTCTACTCCACTTGGCATTTAAAGGTCCCAAGCTCTGAGGACAAACGGTTCAAACCATCTCACGCACGAAACGGCTGTCCTGGAGCTAAGCATTCTAGCACGGAAATTGTTTTTTTTTTTTAAGTCACACTTTTACCTTTCAATTGGTTGTAAAAATATATATCAATAATTATGAGACACAGAAAACCGTTGAAAAAGACTAATATTCTACAAGGTATCAAATGGTATGACCCAGTCTGCCTCACAACCAAGGTTGTACGGCAGGCCGTTGTAGCATATAATGGAGTCTGTGGAGATTTATGGACTTTGAATTCTTTGAGTCCTTCTCTTTTGTCCTTGTATTAGGATTCACTCTCAGTGTATTTTTCTAAAAGTGCCACAAGGCACTTATTATATTGATAAAGACTTCAGAAAATATGCTTATATAGGACCAAATGTCTTACATATGGAGAGATGTTTAAGAGAGGGGGAGCCTGCATTAAACCCTAGATAAGGCTGTCTCTTTGCATCATATATATTTTATCATGTTGATGTAAGAAGATTTTTTATTTTCACAAATGAAATGTTTTACTCTACTTTGACTTTATCAAAATAAGAAATAAAAAACACATTCAGGATGCAATCAAAAGTGAACCCTTTTACATTACTTTTTTTTCCTTCTCTCTATAAATTTAAAAAGTTTTCTCATCAGGGTATTTTGACCAGGAAGACTAGAGATGCAGATGTTTGGAAAACTGGGTCTAACACTTATGTGATACAATTGCCTGCCATACCCCCAAGTAGGACGCTTTTGTTTACGGATGTGACTTCCCTTCAGTGCGGTTACGAAGGGTATAAGTTTTTCTGTTCGCCTGCTGGGGGCAGCAGTGTGCTCACTTACCAAAGAAGAAGAAGATGGTCGCATCATGGCGGTCGATTTGACTCCTCGGTTTCGAAGGTTGAACAGCCAAACGAGAAGTTTCAGAGAAAATACGCCTCATGGTAACATTTTAGTTAGCAGATACATTTAAATAAACGCATAGTTTGAACACGGTAGCAGAAATATGTTGATCTGTATTTACAGTAGGTTGTTATTGCCCGGTTATTTATGAATATTAACGCCATGTTTTTCGTTTTGAACACTGAATGGTTGTTTATACAGGCTTTTGCCCAGCATAGGAAAGCTTAAAGCTATATTCTTCTTTTACAGCTTGTTACTGAAAACCTTAATACTTATAGTGTTTATAAATTAAACTATGCACAATTAGAGTGTTTAATTAGACAATACAATTGAATTAGACAATACAATACAATACAACACCTAATTAGTAGTCACCTACTAATTAGGTGACTTTTGAAGGACTTAGACTTAGACTTTATTGGTCCCTTGGGAAGACTCCCTCAGGAAATTGAACCAGTTTCTTCATTTCGTAGGAAAATGTTTAATATGATTTCATAAAACTACTTGAATTAAGTCCACCTGAACATTCAACCTTGACATTCAGGCTGGTCTGTGTCCTGTTTTTTAAGCAGATTTCTCAAAGCCGTTCGGCGCCACTCAGCTGTGGCAGAACATCATCCATGCCCTGCGGGCTCAGGTGGAGGTGCGTCGCTGCAGGAGACACCTCCGTGTTCACGCTGACTGCTTCGCAGGCTCGGACGCCGTGGACGCGGTTCTCAGCTACCTGATGCAGAACGTGGTGTTCTGCACCAGCGAGGTGTCTCGCCTCAAGGCCGCTCGGCTCTGCCAGGCTCTGATGGAGGCCAAGGTGTTTGAGCCGGTGGGGACCAAGCTGTTTCGCACGGACAAAGAGGCAACCTTTGAGGACAGCAGCGGCAGCCTTTACCGGTTCCTGGAACAGAGGACGAGAAGCAGTCCTGCCATGAAGGAGGACGGCAGTGATGTCGAAAACATGCTGCTGGATGAACACCAGACAAAGAGGAAAAAGACTTCAAGGTTGGAACCCAGTTAAAATGTTTGGATGATTTTTAAAAGTTGGATCAAATATTCAGTCAGAATTTTGCTCATTGCTCAGAAACGCCGGTTTGGAGGAATTTGCTCAAAGACATTTATTCAAATATCACAGAAAATCCACAACAAATTCACACTTGTTGTGTTTGTGTTTAAAATACCTGAAATCACATTTTGTTATCGTTCCTCTCGTTGTCATGCAGGCTTCATGAGATGAGGACCATATCGAACCCTCTTGCTGTGGAACCGTCAGACAGGAGAGTCGAACGGCTCTTCAGGTCCATCAATCTGCGAGCGTCATTTTCTCCGGCTCTGAACGCAGCATCGGCAGCTTCTGGCTTCCTGTCTAAAGCTGGTAATAAAAAACGAAACCTTCCAGAGTTTTATTTGGGATGCAGGCAGTATTACAGTTTTAACATTTTCCATTTTGTTGCCCTTTGCCCAGTGGTGGATGACGTTTGGAAGCAGCAGACGCTGCTGCAGCTGCTGCACATCGTGGAGCTGCCGGTGCTGGACTCAATCCTCACCTCTCCTGAAAGGGTTCGGCTCCGATCCTGCACGGCTCCGCTGGCCAGTTACGACCTGGTTATCTCTAACACCTGCCTGGAAAGAGACCTCCCCGACACGCTCAGCCTGCTCCAGTCAGGATCTCACCACCGCTCACCTGTCTCAATGTGTGTTGGTTGTATTTAGTTTTTTTTCTTTTAAACACTTTTTCCCCCCTTCAGGCTGGACTCCTGGCTGTCGGCAGCAGCGACTGCCTTGAACTGTTTCCAGACCAGTTGATTATGGTCACAGCAGAACAACTCAGCCACCATAGCTGTAACAATGCAGAGGAGACAGCCAGTCAGAAGAGACTGCTCTTTGACACGATTGCCAAGTACTACAACGGGCAGGAAAAAGCGGCGCTGATATCAGGACGCTACCTGGACGTCCATGTTGCTATTCTGAATCTACTGGGTAAGATCAGAAAACAGATGTGCAAATGCAGCTTCAGTTGTTCTCTCTAAGGCCGTTTGTGTTTCTAGGCGACGGGAAGACGAAGGATGCTATCAGAGCATCTCAGCTGTGTCTGCGGCTGCTGGAGACGAGTGTGAGGGATGAACTGAGGAGACTGCTGACCTTCATGGCCGCCGCAGCTCAGACAAACGCCTGCCGGCTGCAAAAGCAGGTAATAAACATTAATTCCATTCCTCTGAGCTGCTTTTCCACTGTAGTTGTAGACATGTAGGAGTAACTGTTTATGGTGACTGACTCGGTGCTTTTTGACTCATTTTGGGGTGTTTTTCTTTCAGGTTGATAATCGGACTTTGGTCTGCCGCACTTTTCAGAGAGGGCTTGTTCAGAATCATGAACTCACTCGACCCCAGAGCGAAACGCTGGTGCTGTTTCTCATGGACCATCATGCTGAACTTTTCAAGGTACTTTGCTTTTAGGAATTTCTGTTCTGTTGAAGCTGTTGGTTTTGTAAAATCTGTTTTTTTTTTTTTTCCTTTTTTATTTATTTCAGAACTTTTCAATTTCTACAGAAACTGAAAAATTGCTATCTGTATTCTAAAGAGTCTAACAAAATTATTCACACTCCTTGAAATTGGTTATGTTTTTACATGTTGCAATAACTGATTTTAGTGTTTTTTATTAGGAGTTCATGGCATTGATCAGTGCAAAGAAGTACATGCATAGTTTGAACGCTGGAGGACAATTATATGATTAAAAAAAACATTTAGAAATAGAATGTCTGAGTCTTTCAATCTTCCCATCAACTGTGGGAAGATTGGTGGCAGCATTATAACGCTCGTTTGATATAAACTGCTAGTTTTCCACAATGCATAACATTAATTACTCAAGACAAATGTTTGCACTGGATTTCATCTGGTAGTGACGGAGTAAAGAAGTGTTGAACACAGATGTAAAGCACACTTTCTAGATTTTTTCACAAGTAAGCACTGCTTTGTGTTTCGGTTTGACTAAAACCTGAATGAAGTGTTGTTTGTGAATGTAATGAAATGTGGAAAAAAAAAGCTTTTGTAAATGCACTCAAGTGATTTTCTGATTTTCATCCTAAAAGACTCCTGCAACACTTATTGAAGCGGTGAGAAGAACGTTGAGGACTTTGCAACAGGGGAAGGATCCAGACTCGGTTGCTTGTAAGTTAAAACCATCAAAATAACAACTCCATTCATATGCATATGTATTCTGATGTAAAAATAAAATCTACATGTTTATTTAACAACAAAAAAAACTGTATTTCATGTTGACGGGTGTTGTTTAGTAATTTGTATCTCAACTTGAGGGCGCTGTTGCTCCAAGTTCAAACCAAGACAGAATGTCTTTTGAACGTAGAGTAAGTAAATATTTCTCTATTTGTAGCAGCGTTCACGTTCTGCCAGCGGGTAACCCCTCAGGAGTACGAAGATCAACGTGACGCCACAACTCTGGAAAGCCTCAGACAACTCCTCCGAGACATTTCATCCAACACCAACATGGCTGCCAAGCAGAAGAGGAAGCTGCTCAAAGAGTTTGAAAAACATCACCCTGTTGTCTTCCTCCAGCATTTTTCTAGCTCTTTCTAAAACAAGCACTGGTGTCTGAGGTTATAACTGAGCAATAACTGAAATGCAACCATCAAATGTTTAGTAGAAAGAAAATGAAACATTTTCAGCTGAACATTTCAGCTTATTCAAATATTGTTAAAGTAAAGAAAATTATTTTAATACGGTCTTTTAAATGTATGAGGTTATTATAGTTGAGATTTGTTGCTTTGTTTTTGAGTGTTTATTAGGAAAGCAGCTAATGATGCTGAGCAGACACAGGTAGAACTTTTTTCTTCTAAAAAATGTGATGATGTTTTTGTGTTCAATTGAGTATTTTTCTGAAATCAGATGCTGGATTTGGACAAACCCTAATTTTGATTTAATAGAGGTTTTTGCTCTGCACTTCTGTCCTGCCCAACTTCATAAAGCATTATATTTCAACATATCAGTTGATAAAAAAAAAAAAAAACATTTCTGTAGTTTATCTTGTTTTGCTGAAAGAACTGAAGACTAATGTAATTGAAGTTAATGGTATGAATCTCATTTTACATTATGTTTAAATGAACTGAATCGAAAAGGTAGATTATATTAGTATTACTGTAGCTCAGGGTAATATTTCAAGTTTTAATTGTAGGCGTTGTGAAAGTGCTACTTATTCAAATTTTTTTTATTTAAACTTTTAAACACTTGAATTAATTGAAAGGATATTGTGTGATATGACTCGGCATAATTGTTGAATACTAATTTAACTTTGGTGAAATGTGAGAAGTTGGTAATAACCTTTTGAAACCATGTTTAGTTTACTCTAATTTTTTAGTTTTGTCATTTGCTAACACTTAAATCAGGGCAGAATGCACTTTATGATGTTGAAACATGTACCAGAACATGCAATAAAAGCTGTTCTCTCAAATAAGTTTTTGCTTTCATTGAACTTACTTACCTCTGTTTAGTTAATGTCTTGTAAAAAGTGCATGCCACACTTTTCAGTTTTTGTTTTGAAAACCTCCGTTTGAAAATTCATTCACATGTTCAATTCAGCTCAAAAATGCTTTACATAACCCAGAGGGAACTTAACATTTTATCACAGTCTTCTATCTTTATTCTGTGGACAATTAATTATTAGATGAAATAATTGTGTAAACTTGGCTCATTGCTGTTAAAACTGTTATGTTCAAAATTCACATTATTAACAATTAGTTGTTACATTTTATTTCAGTGAAAACGTAAGTAAATATGTATTTTTTGGGGGGCGGGGGGGCTTAAACTCGTGACGTATGCTCACCTGACGCCACTGAAAAATACCCGGAAGTAAGCTCTGTCGTTTACCTAGCATGCTAAGCTAACTCATTTCGTATGCTGCTGGAAGAAGACATGGGGGCTGTGTTTCACAGCCATTACTGATAGTAGCGCCGCATGAAATCCATTTAGAACCAGTCTGAAACCTGAGAGTCTCTTTTGTATTACGGTAAGTAGCTTGGGGAGGTTAAAGTGACACATTTTGGGTGAAAATGGCTGTTTCTTGGTTATAACGCCGCTGTTTACTTGCGCATAGCTGGGGCTAGTTTGTTAGCTTGGGTATAGCTTAGCAAAATACTTTATATCTGTTGACAGCATTTCGTAAGGATACTGTCAGTTGAAGGGTTTTGTCGCACATCAGATGAAGTATTCAAAAGGCACATTTACGATAGTTTTGATGTAATTGTTTGCTGGAGTGGACGTTTGCGTTTAGGCGAAACAACAGCTAACTTGGCTAAACCTAAGATATTTCACAATCAGACCTGTCTCATAAAGAGAAAGATAAAATAAGGCTGACTGATTTTAACTTAATACCTTAACGTGGCTCAGCCTGTCAACAGTAATAAGTTGTGTAGCTAAGCCATGTTTTAATCTGCTTCAGGAACATTTGAGGTGTCTTGCAAGGAAGTGTCAGCAGGTGGTTAAAGGGGAGCTCAGTCATTGCCTTTAAAATGGACATCACTCGTCCATGCAGCAGCTTTACATTTATCGTTTTCCAGAACAAACGAGTGATAAAAATGGCTTTCTGGCCTCTGTAACTCTTTTAAAACCCAGAAATGATTTAAACCCCAGCTTTAATTCTAGGGGAAAGCAGGAATGTTTTGCTTGAGCCTACTTTGGTTTAGAAAGGTAGCCTTAATACTGGTGGGCTCTTTGATGTGCAGATGTTCATGCAGATGCTTTAGGGTTCCTGTTTCAGCTTCTCTCTGACAAAAGCAGTACAGCTGTCTCTTTCAGTAATTTCAAAAACTATTATTTCCCCTCTGTCTGCACGTTGTTTAAACTGCTTATCTATTCTCTGTGTTCACCACTGATGTGTTGCCTCAGCTGCTGGATCAAGCCTGAACATGGAGTCGATGTTGAACAAGCTGAAAGCACCGTCACTAAAGTGACGGCAGATGTCACCAGTGCTGTTATGGGCAACCCGGTGACGCGGGAATTTGAGGTTGGCCGACATATTGCGAGCGGAGGTCCTGGCCTTTGCTGGAGGATCTACAATGGCACCAAGAAGTCTACCAAACAGGTGTGTGTGTGCGTGTTCACACCCTCCAGGACACTCAGTCTCTTTGTCAATGATTAATTAATGTTTGGAAAACCTGAAAGAGAAGGATCTCCACAGCTGGACGCTTCTAATGTCCACACTCTGTTTTTGTTTCACTCAGGAAGTAGCAGTGTTTGTGTTTGATAAGAAGATGATCGACAAGTATCAGAAGTTTGACAAGGACCAAATAATAGATTCCCTGAAGAAAGGGGTGCAGCAGCTAACCAGACTGCGTCACCCGCGCCTCCTGACCGTGCAGCATCCTCTGGAAGAGTCACGGTGAGACGAGCGTCGATGCAAATGAGTCACAAGGATGAAAATAATGCAGAAGAAACGGTTTTGTCTGCCTGAGTAGTTGTTGTATGTGAACAAAGGCTCATCAATATTCAAAGGATGATAAATTAAGCTGTTCTTTTTTCAATCTGGTCTCCAGGGACTGCTTGGCATTCTGCACAGAGCCAGTGTTCGCCAGTCTGTCCAACGTGCTGGGCCAGTGGGACAACCTGCCCAGCCCCGTGCCCAAAGACATCAAAGAATACAAACTCTATGATGTGGAGACCAAATATGGCTTACTACAGGTGAGACTGGATGTAATGAAGTTGATTGTAATATTTGTTGTCTTGATTGATTAGTTTAGCATTTGCTTTAGACATTTGTTTGGTGTACAAAATGTCAGGCTGGCAACAGATCTTCCACCCCAACAAAGCGCCTGAGCTCTGATGATCTACTAGCCAGTCGTATGGATTGCTTTAGGGTTTCAAGCAGCTGTTGAGCAGGTTTCAGAACCCTGTATTCTTCTCTTGTGGATATGCATCCAAATTGCTTTTTGTCTAAAAGCCAGTTAAACCAGATCAATTGCAAGCCTCGCCTTTTTTCTGTCGATACTGTGATGATGTCTGGCTGGCTGGAATGCCAGCTCATTTCTTCACAAGTTATCCTCTCAGTTTAACTTGCATTTTTGCTTTATTTCATTAAAACTATTAGGCTCTTCCTTCATCTATTTAGCTTGTATTATTCAATGCAGTCTTGGTATTATATTTCTTTAGGGGTTAAGGATGTGCACAGAAAGAGTACCTGATGTTTGTCCTTTGGACAAAAAATGATGCCTTTCTGAAAAAAATTTTTTGTGTGCATTTCTGAATTAAAAATAATCTCCAGTTAAGAGTGGGTATTAAGCTATTGTAATGTGTTGTTCAAAATCCAGCTCGCTTGCTTTATATATAAAATTGTTTGTTTTTGTTTGTTCTGTCCCTTCAGATCTCGGAGGGTTTGTCGTTTCTTCACAGTGGGGTTAAGATGGTCCATGGCAACTTGTGCCCAGATAATATCATCCTCAATAAGAGTGGAGCCTGGAAGATCATGGGCTTTGACTTCAGCATATCTTCAACTAACCCGTCGGACGCTGAGGTAGTCACAGTACTGATCAGAAGTTTCATCAGTGAGATTCATCAAGTCACTATAGGAACTATAGGAAGAATCAGGTGTGTCTTTTTATTTTTCTCGTTCACATTCCCATCCCTGTTTTCTCTTGAATTCAGCTGAAGTACACATGTAAAGAGTGGGAGCCCAACCTTCCGCCTCTCTGCCTCCCCAACCCGGAGTACCTGGCCCCAGAGTACATCCTGTCCGTCAGCTGCGACTCGGCCTCCGACATGTACTCTCTCGGAGTTGTAATGCACGCCGTTTTCAACGAAGGCAAGCCTGTAATCCAAGTCAACAAGCACGATATTTTTAAGAGTTTCAGCAGGCAGCTGGATCAGGTGAGTCCAGAGCCAAATTTGAATGCATACAAAGTAGGGTGTGGATTTTTATTCAGTCTTCATTCATTTTCTTTTAACCTTTTTTATTAAATTCGTAGCTGAGCAGCATGAATCCGGCACTGCTGAGTAAGATCCCTGAGGAAGTGCGAGAGCACGTCAAGATGTTACTCAGCGTCTCGCCGACAGTCCGACCGGATGCAGACCAGATGACTAAGGTTTGCACTTCTAGCCTGTCAGTAAATGTACAACAGAAACACACCAATCATGATGTTCATGTCTCACATGTAACGCATCTTTATGTCAAATACAGATTCCATTTTTTGATGATGTTGGAGCAGTAACATTGCAGTACTTTGACACTCTCTTTCAACGGGACAACCTGCAGAAATCTCAGTTCTACAAAGGTTTACCAAAAGTGCTGCCAAAGCTACCAAAGGTAAAGTCGTGGTGTGGAACTGGTTTTTAATACATGTACAAACTTAAAACCAGTGATAAAAGATACTTTTACAATTCTTTTGCTTCCCTTGAGCTCATACTTGAATACTTTTTTCCTTTTCCGCCCAGAGAGTAGTGGTGTACCGCGTATTGCCGGCATTGACCTCAGAGTTCGTCAACCCAGATATGGTTCCGTTTGTGCTGCCGAACGTGCTGCTTATTGCCGAAGAGTGCACCAAGGAGGAGTACATTCGCCTCATCCTGCCTGACCTCACGCCTGTTTTCAAACAGCAGGAGCCTCTCCAGGTAGAACCAAAGGAACTTTCCTATAGTTCCTATAGTGACTTGATGAATCTCACTAAAGTATTGTCCAGGTGTGGATAACTATGGGAAAAGAAGATAAAGAATGGAAAAAAAATCTTTCACTTTTTCCATACTTTATTCACTATTCTGTTGTCTAAAATATCCGTCCATCCATGGAAAACCTTTTAAACTCTTACCATTCGTTCTGCCAAAATTTCAAGGTGACGTTTTGAGTTGGAAAAATTCTGAAAGTTTGACATAAAAAATGTAAAATTTGTAAAATGTATCTGATTTTTCTCAAGATGACATGCATGTTTAAAACTGTAAATTTAACCTTACTAAAAAGCATGCTGCTTTGGGTTTACTGCATCCGTTTTAAGTCTTTTCTCTGTATTTTTCTCTCCATGCCTCTTCAGGCTAGTAATATGGTGAGTGGTCTTCTTTTGGTGAATGTGTCACACCTCAGCTATAGGCTTGACTTGTGTTGTGCCTAGCAATAACATCTGCACTAAACTCTCTGACCTCATATTCACTGATCACATCTAACTTCCCTAATACTGTTCTAGAGACAGGCTGCCATGCTGCTGATTTTCACTCTCGGTTTTCTAACTGAGTGTTTGCTGTTCAGATCCTGTTAATATTCCTGCAAAAGATGGACCTGCTGCTGACGAAGACGCCGCCAGATGATATTAAGAACAGTGTGCTTCCCATGGTCTACAGGGCTGTGGAGGCTTCCTCAGTTCAGATCCAGGTACAGATGGAAAACTGTTCACTCGGTTTATTTTTACAGGTCTCAGTAAGAATATCTTTGATCATTTTTATTTATTACTGTAATTAAATTAAAAAACAAGAATGTAGATTGACTGGAAATTTGTAAATTTTGTTGCAATATGTCTTACAGCTAAGAAATAAGTTTCCAAACATCTTCCTTCCACAAAATTTTCCATTAAGATACATGATTGCAGTATTTTGTAAACAGCCAGCTTCTTCTGCAGTGACATTTTGTGGCTTATCTTTCTTGCTTTGGTTGTGACTGTGTGTCATAATTTTTCCCTTCTGTACCAATACATTTCTGTCTTAGAAAATGATTTTTTTGTATCTTGTCCTTATTTTATTACACTTGGAAACATAATTCTGGGTTTTCATAAGCTGGTAGCCATTTACACAAAGTTAACAGATAAACAAGTCAGTCTATATAATATGATTTTTAGTTCTTGATTTTGAGTATCAGAAATAAAAAAACACACAAAAAAAACAGAAAATCAAAACACTTTGGCTCTGTGATAAAAATGCTTTCATCTCCTTTTTTTTTTTTTTTTTTTTTGCTTTAGACATTCATTTTTCCTAGACTATTTGCCAATATCTAAAGCATTGTTGTGCATATTTCAAGCATTCTGGAGCAAAATCTTGGAGCCTTCCTTTACATTTCTGAATCACCTCCTTATCTCCAGAGGACAGGGAATGCAGATGCCGCACTTGGCATCATAAAACTGTCACATTCTGTAACATCTTCTTCTTGGCTGCGCAGGAGCTGTGCCTGAACATCATCCCAACGTTTGCCAACCTGATTGACTATCCGTCCATGAAGAATTCTCTCATCCCGCGCATCAAATCAGCCTGCCTACAGACGTCCTCTCTCGCTGTGAGTCTTCCATCAGTCATTCCTGCTCAACTCTCGTTTAATTATTTGTTTATTTATTATTTAAGTTAATTAATCTACATCTCATGTTCTGTTGCAGGTGCGAGTGAACTCCCTGGTGTGTCTGGGGAAGATTCTGGAATATCTAGATAAATGGTTTGTCATCGATGAAATCCTCCCCTTCCTCCAGCAGATCCCCTCCAGGGAGCCAGCTGTCCTGATGGGCATTTTGGGTAAGCAAACAACAGCGGCAATAACTTTCTTACCGTTCTCACACTTTAAAAAACATTAAATGTTCATTTGAAGTGGTCGCTTTTTATTGTAGGAATCTATAAATGCACCTTTACCCACAAGAAGCTTGGCATCCCCAAAGAGCATCTCGCCACAAAGAGTTTGCCCCACCTCGTTTCTCTTAGTATCGACAATAACCTCAATCTAAATCAGGTACACCATTGGTTAGTAGATGCGATTCATATCATATCAGATTTTTTTCTCCTAACTTGAGGTAATGTGTGTTTCCTTGTAGTTTAATTCTTTTATGATGGTAATTCGGGACATGCTGAACCGCATGGAAGCTGAACACAAAACCAAACTGGAGCAGCTGCATATCATGCAGGAGCAACAGAGGTTTTTCTCACATTTTATTTAACAATCGACCATAATGATGAGAATATTTAATGGATATGATGTTGAATATTTTTTTCCAATTTTATATAATAGGAGCCTAAACATCACAAATCCAGGGAATTCCACAGAAGAAATTAAAAGCCCTCCAAACTCTGGAAACCAGGTAATAATTTTGTCCCTACTTTTAAAACTGTGAAATATAAAGAAATGGATTTCTGTTGACCATGGTTTGTTTGTTTTCAGATTGATGATATATTTGGCAGCGCGAGTGTTAATGGGAAAGAAAATGGATCTGCTGCAACACCGTCGCAGCCTAACAGGGTAAAGACGCACACCTTCATCCTTCAAATGATCTCATTACAGCTTCCTTCACGTTTACAGACACCAAATATAAATAAACCTAAACAAAACTGTGCTTTTATTGAATGCTTCTATTTACCTAACGCCTCATGTTCTCTTGACCTCTGTTCTCCTAATATTCGTATGTTCAGGAAGACAAAAGTTGCATATAACTAATTGAAGGTTCCTAGGCAAACTGATTAAAGCTGGTTCAAGCTTTAGTTTCATGGTAGTGCAACACTGGATATTATCATCTTAATATGAACGCCTCTAGTATCAATGCTCACACACTGACGCAATATTGATAAGATTTTATAGAAGGTCTTTCTCTGCCTTTAATAGCCACACTTCCTTGGTAACTTCCTGTTGAGCCCTATTTTATATGAAGTGTTAAAACAAAAGCTTCTTATGGGATTAAGTCACTTATGGTTGAATTTTCTCAAATTATCAGTGAGATTATGTTACTGCAATAAAATATGGAAAACCTTAAAGTATTTTACGCATCTTTTTAAATAAATATGGAGGGTTCTGGCTGAGATCCAGTCGTTTTCTTACTGCTCTCCAGGTTTCCCTGACTCTGGAGGAGAAACAAAGGTTGGCCAAGGAACAGGAACAGGCAGCTAAACTGAGGAGCCAGCAGCCGTTGGCACCTCAGGCCATCAAACCATCATCCTCCAGCAACTCACAGGTGAAGCCAGAAACGTTCTCCCAAACAAAAACGCACAACTTTACTAAAATGTGTTGGGTTTTTAACTCGCCTCTGTGTTGCAGACTAAAGATCTGACCAACAGCCTGATCAACAGCATGACGTCTCTGAACAGCCTGACCTTGGCGAGCTCAGCGCGGCCACCCCCAGTACAAGGCACTACCATGGCCGCCTTCCCCTCATCCGGTCCGATGGTGGGGCCAGTCTCTAACGGTTTCAACCCCAGCATGGGTTTCCAATCTGGGGGCATTGGGATGGGCATGCGGCCCTCGGGCCCCGGCCTCTACGGAGGAATGGCCTCCACCACCAGCACCCCCAACTTTGGGGCTCTGACGCAGAACCAAGGACCGTCTGGGCTGACGAACAGACCGCCTAACATGTCGGCCTTGGACAACCTGTTTACACCCAACAAGCCCAAAGTCTCTCTTAACCAAATAGGTCCCCAGGCCGCACCTGGAGGCGGTTCCCCCTGGGCGAGTCAGTTCGGGTCGGCCCAGAACACTCAGACTCCGATGGCGGTGGGGATGGGAGGGATGCCCAGTGGGTTTGGGATGCAGGCAAACCCTTTCTTCAGCCCACAGAACTTTTCTCAGCCGGGTTCTGCCCCGAGCATGAACCCAGGCGGAGTGAAACCGAGCGCGTCTGCGAACAATGACCTGCAGGACTTATTCGGCTGAAACAAAAATGAAAACGAACCCCTGATGAAGTATATTCTTTTAAAGACTGTAGAGATGAGCTTTGAATGATCACAGATTATTGTGGAGCACTTTCAGAGGTGTTTTTGTACTTTTAATCTCGTCTAATTTAACGTCTCGTGCTGACGGTCTGCTGGAAAATGAAGCCCGCACCAGTGGTCCGGTGTGGGTTTCACTTCTTTTACGCTTCGGTCTTTCAATGCTGGGGGTTTCCTACTGTTTTTGTACTTTCCCAAGCAAATATATCGATGGGGTCAAGATGAATTTGAGTTTGGTTCATTGTTGACTGTCCAAATGGAGGGAGAGTATTTTACTTAAAAGAACAAAAGTTTTTCATTTTCATACCTAGGAAATGTAGAAAACCTGCTGTGCTCACTTCACATTTGCTCACTTTCAGGCTTCTGTACTTCCACTGCCTTTCCAGAATAGTTTGGGATTTTGAGGTTCAGGTTAAGGGAACATGGCGTGTGATTTCATTGGGAGGCAAGCATGGTTTTAAAAACCACTTATTTGCAGTTTCACATGTTATATATGTTTCTCTAAAGATAAACTGGACAATCCTTCTTGGGTTCATTCTTTCGTAACATTACCAAAATTATCTCCATTCCTTTTACGTTGGCCTCCATTTGCTTTCATTAGCTTTGCAGGTGAATAACCTGGTTTCTATCGTTGCAGAGTCTTTCTCCTTTCTGGTTCTGGTCATAGCGGAGTGGCTGTTACTGCTATGTTCGTCTAAGGAATCTCAACGCTAAAGGCGATGTGGAAAGTATGCACTTTTCTTCTTGTGCCTTACAAGGGTACATGTCTAAAACTAAGCAGCACTCAATTGTTACACAAGTAGGCATGGGTCAGGATAAAATATTACTATGTTATATTGAGAATCCTACCATGGTGTTATACTGTTAACACACAAAAAGTGTTATGACTTATTAAGACAGGACAACTAATGATTCCTAATGTTGTAAAAGTAAGTTATTAGTTATTACATTACCTTTTATATCTAAGACTTAAAACAAGTTGCCAACATTTCCAATTCTCCAACATGTTATAAGATTAAACTAATTATGCTTTACATGTTGAGCTCTTTTTTCTAAGAATCACTAAAATATTGTAAAAATACAATTCTTTGTTCTTCCTCAAAATTATTTGGTATTGCTTCAGCCTGGAAGCAGTGAGATGAGTTTCTGGTCACAGGTCAGGATTTCCTCTCAGCAACTGATTTTTCAGTTGATTTTTGTAACATTTATTGATTGTTTGAATTTTAATACACAGGCCTAAGCAAAAATATTAAATAAACACCTGCTAAATTTAGTTGTAGATTTGTCACAACTTTTCTATTCTTTTTGCATTCTGCATAAAGTAACTAAAACTAATTGCATCAGGTTCTCAGTTTTTATACTGTGGTTTTAAAATATGTTTTGCCTTAAATACCTATTTTATGTAGAGGTGGATGACGCTCCTTTAGTTTTCATTTTTAAAGTGAAGACAGCTATGGATGGAAATATTTCCACGTGGGAAAAACTAAGTTAGATTTGGGAACGATACACTAGAAAACTTTTGCAGTTATTGGTAAGAGTAACTGGCCCATGCCTACACAAAGTTGTTCCAATGGATGTAATTTGCTTGGCTGCATTTCACTGACCACATCAATTTAAAAACAGTTTTTCTTATCAACTAATATTGCAGTTTCTTTTTTTTTTAATCTAGTGACCAACCATATCACAATCCCCATACTTCATGTGCATCAATATGAAATGTAACCGTAGTTATTCCAATATGGAAAGGTCCCCGGCATCTTTTTGTTTTTGTGGCTCTGGGTTAAGAGGCCTTAGATGAGTCGAGTGCAATAATCCTTTTCGGTTCTTGAGGGTGAAAATAGTTTGTCGGAACCAGCTCTCGTTGTGTGTGACTTTCTCTGATGACCTGCAGTAACTTCACTGTTCTGTCGGATTTTCTTAATGACTAGATATTGATGTAAATTCATTCTGAGTTAAACATTTTGGGTCTTTTGGATTCATCTCGCTCATATTGATTCTGCTGTTGATTGTAATTTTATTTAATGTTTTAAAATAAACTTTGCTCTTCAGGTTCTGTTAATTTCCACACTGTTAACGCTTTGCTTTGATTAACTCGACTGGTTTATTGGAGTGTTATTTCACATATTGTAGCAGAACCCCAAAGCTAACTGAAACTAGGTCTTTGATTAGGCCGTTTGTAAACTACTGCTGTTCTGTGTGTGAAGTGTGAGCCTCGTTTTGTGACCAGGTGCTGGTTTCTGAAGTGGTTCCATGAAGATCTGTACATATATAAAAGCATACAATCTAATATTCTCAAATGATGGTCACTGTTTGATTTATTTTTTTTTTGTGATCACTTATTTTGAAGGGAAAACAATTGTATTAAACATTTCTACATAAATTAGAAGAGGGAAAACAAAAGCTTAAGACATCTTAATAAAAGTGAAAAGCAAAAATGAAGTTCTTTGGTTGTGGCAAATTTCGTGAACATTTAAAGGTGCATTATGGCTCAAAATATTGCAAAAAAACCTGTAATGTAACCTATAATCTAAATGTCTTTGCATTTATTACATCCTAAACCACAATGACGTTAAATGTTTAATCAAAAATACCACTTTGTTTATTACATAGTGTTAACTGACGTAAACCATTTTACAAACTGGTCAAGTGCATGCAATACAGTTCTTGAAACTTTCTGTAAAACTACTAAGCAGAGTTCCCACACAGACATTTTTAAGACAATTTCGGGATTTTGACATGAAAGTTGTAGGAGCACAGAATGATGTACGAGAACATACTTCTGATAAGAGATATACTGTATCTTGTCAGAAAGTAACCTCAAATTTAAATTCTAAAGTGGACTGAAAACCAATGTTAACAGTATTGTAAACACCAAGATTGAAGCAAGACAGCTTATGAGGAAAACGTGCAAGTTTCTCTCCTCCCTCTGAACAATCCGTCCTGATCACTGGGGAAGTCGTCTCACTGACCTGGTGGTATTTGTGGACAGGTTCCTCTGAGTCATGGCTGCAAGCAGACGGAGTACATGAACCTTTTCCACATCTAAAAACTTAATATCATCTGCATAAGGTATGAGTCCAGCTGTATTGGCATTGACTGAAATACATATTTGCTAACTTGTACCTCTCTTTCTGCTGCTCACCTGAGAAGTTGAGCTCGTAGCTGAACCTGCTGGTGGCAAATGTCATAATGCCTGACTGGTTCAGCTGGTACTGGAGTTCAATGTCTGGACTGGAAACACTGCATTGACGATAACTCTGCATGACACCATAAACAAGGTACAGTTTTACTGCTTAGTAGCAATTGTTTGTCTTCTAACAGCGTTTGCCTTCTCATATTAATAAAAAGAGATGCTCCGTCTTACTTTGGAATAATCTTTCCAAATACCATCCATATCTTGGAACTGCCAGCGGGCATTTGTACCTGAGCTGAAGAAGATAAGATAGAAGTCGGAATAATAGAGCATAAGTGGAAGCATCATATAGATATTGTTATATTCATTTATGTAAGGACTAAGTTACTCCAAAGGAAGTTGGTCATGAACTTTTCAGAATAAAAGACATGTTTAAAAGGTGCACTGCTTTACCTGTTGTTTTTCTGAACTCCGTTGTCCGGACTCCGCCTCACGCTTCTTCTTGTCCCAATATTATTATTAATTTGGCACATTCCTGCAATTAATAATGGTTTTCAGAGGTTTCTTGAATTAAATAGTGGATTATTGAGGATAAATTGTGTATATTACTTGCAAAATCCAGTTTGTATGAAAAGTTTCTGACACTGAAGAGGATCTGGCCCTGTGGGTTCAGCTCGTATTGCTTCTCAATGGCGGCGCTATCAAGCGAACATATCTGCAAACAATTATGAATCATAATAAGTAAATGTTGCTACATTTAGATTGGATAATCATAAACTACAAGTAAAAAGTTTGTTGCCCTGTTGTAGACAAGGCAACAAAAGGAAAGTATTTATCATAGAACCACTGCTAATTACTCTGAACCCAGGGTGGTGGCAGCATCATGCTGTGGAAGAAGTCAAGCTCTTCATTCAATATGTAATCTGTGTCAAAACTTAAAATTTTATGCTCACAGAAGACTTCAAATGAATCTGTCTGAACTTTAATCGTGTTAGAAGGACAAACGGGAACAGTTTTCAGTCTACGTTCCTGAAATTTCAGGAAAACGTGTTTCTGCAAAAGATTGTTTCTTCAAGGCTGAATACAACCACAAGCTTCCATCTTCAAAGTTTTATATTCATAAAAAAAAAATCTAAACGCTATTTTGTTTTGATCTATTCAGTAAAAATTTCAACACACATTGAAACGTAAATATGACATGTAACAAAATAACCACCAGATGTCCCTGTTGAGTCTCCCCAGTCATTGCAGAAGGGTTAATATGACACTCAAAGGTTAAGGATGAAATGAAAGCATGTTAAAATATTACAATGTTCAAAGTTGATATATAAGAAGCTGCACTTACATGTGCCTGGTATTCTGTCCATTGTCCTTCATCTCCCATAAACTCCCACTTGAAGCTGGGATTGTATGACTGGGATTGTGAAGCCAGAGGCAGGAATGAAGCAGAGCTAATGCTGCAGGGACATAAAGTGAAGCGTTTTGTAAAATTATTATTCTGAGAGAACCTAGAATGTTTTGCTTCGTTTACATGGGCATGACTGAACTCAGGTTGACAAATCTTACCTTGCGGGGCTTGAGGTGAATTTCGGCCGTCTGCGCACGTTTCTGCGTAAGCCTGTAGTAACGTTGGTTTGGGTCATGGCTGCAAATTTAAACACCTTCAGTTACATCTAACTGCATACATACAATGTTTACCTGCTTGTAGAACTATCTCTCAGTTACTTGTCAAAGCCACATACTGGAAAAATCCAGTGAGTATCCAGTCGAACCAATGCTGAACGGAATAACTCCCTGAGGATTCTGACTGAAATGAGTCTCGATGTCTTTGCTGGTGATGGATGATGATGACATGTTGGAGCTCTGAGGGGGTGAGGAAGATGAAAAATGTTCAGCTTTGTTCACAATAATACTGGAGTTCGCCTTTTCTCCTCAAGGTGACAAGAACGAAAACAAAATTCTTTCTGCACAGGAAATGTTATACTCCACAAGAACTCAAGATCACAGTTACTGGAAAGTCTCATATGCCCTTTCTACTTCGGACTATTTATGATAGTCCGACTCCTCATGCATGATCCAAGAAAGACAAAGTGTCAGGACCTTGAGAGAGAGAACACATTTCTTTACCTGTGATCCATATTCACACCACAGACTGTCGTCTCTGAAGTACCATCCGATGTCCTCTTCTTGACCCTCAGGGACAAAGCTCAGTCTCTGCACACTCAGTGTTGGGTTATCAGTCTTCAACTCATCAAAGTCTATAAAAACTTTCCTGTGGATTCACAAAAAATGCGCTATGGTATATTTTATGTGGTTTCTGTAGAAGCCAATTTTACACAGAGCGTAAAAATACAAACCCTAGCCTTGTGTTGATGCTGATCCCCTTTGCTCCAGCCTGGCAGTAGTGAGTCTCGATCACATGATCATTGTCAATTTTCAGCCACTGATTCTCGTTCAAAAGTTGCCACTGATAATGATTGTCAGTCACTGACAAACACAGAAATTTTGACTGTATTACATTTCACTGTAATCTTGCAACACCCAGCTATTGGGAAAGAAGTGAAATCATTCTGCTTTGTACAATTTTAAGAGACTTTAATTTATAAACTTCTGGTAAAGGTCCTGTGAATCATAACAGACAAATACCAACTTCTTAATGCTCAAAACTGATTCAGATTCAACATAAGCTGAGACAAATAAGACACTAAAAAGACAGGATTTGGAAAGCTTACGCACAAAAGTGACTTAAGATGACAAAATAAACGACATGAATCGACCCACTTACTTGTGCTAAAATCCTTCTGCTACGCTATCATTTCGCAGACATAAATAGTTTCACTTTCGTTTCTTTGAAAGGGAGAGGGAGAGGAAGCTCCAGTTGCTGTTTACAAGTCAAATCTGTTAATAGTGACTGTGGACTCTTTGGACTTCAGCCATATGGGTGTAGCTACATATGGTTTAAAGGCAACTGTCAACTATAATAAGTAAAGTAGACTAACTTCAGAAATAAATTAGAGTAGATTTTCCCATTAGATTTGTCAGATTAAAAGGAAATTTTGAAAATAACCATTAAGCAGATAACTAACTAACTAGCATCAAATCATAATAATTAATAGAAATGAAAGCTTTAAAACATGGGTTTGTTTGGGATTTAGATATATAATGTGTTTTACTTAGTCATGGAGTTACTGGAATAAATGAAGTTTTTAATAACATTTTAATTTATTGAATAAAACTCCTTTTTTTCTGCTTGAATCAACGACAGGTGACCCGAATGCAAAAATAAGCTTAGAAAATGTATTTTATGTGTTTTCACATGTAAAGGTCTTGTAAATCACAGATCAAATGCAGCCCATAACTACAAATAAATAAAATGTTCTTTGGCTCTTTCAGATAATTCTGATTCTATCTTAGTGACACTCGGGTCACTGAGGACAGGATGCCGCCATATTTGGTGTTTTCCATTTTATAGAAACAAAATCTGTTTAAATGTGATCAAAAGTTATATTTTTAAGCAAACAACCCAAATGTGACCAACAACAAGGAGTCATTAAATTATATGTGTAATCAGACTATAACTAGGACTCTGATGGAGTCTCATTTAGTCAATAGAGGATTTACAAAAATTGGTGGAAAAATTCCTCATTCTTAAAATAAACAAAAAGAGACAGAAATTTGAAGCTTTTATTTATTTCAGTTTCTATTAAAAGAGATTGACCAGAGGCTTTTCTCAGATCAGCACCAGGTTGAAAACATGAAAGAAAGACAGAATTTAATATTAATATTTTTCTTGCATCCAGGGAATCTGTCAGTGTATTTTGCATAGACAGATTCTAAAATCACATTCAATGTCCTCTAATTTAACCAAGATTTTTTGGTTTCCTGAAAAAACTATGGTTGATTTCGGTACTCTGCAAAAAATAAGACACCAGCCCCTGAGATTCAAAGATCAAAAATTCAAACATCAACTGCAAATTACAACTTGCATTGTTTTAGTGCAAGATTCTCAGGCAGGATTCATGTATTCACTTGTAAACCTCACTGATATTTCATAGTATCAGGCCATAATTTATGTAAACATCATTAAATGTTTTACTGGAGAACTATCCCTGGTATAACTGGAAAACAAACACCCTAAATGAATGCACTAGGACAGTATTGCACAATTGTTGGGTTTCTGAACAGTAGCTCCATCTTTATTCTTCACACCAGCACTCGTCTGATCTTGCGTTTACTTTTGTTTGTTTGGTTGATCTGAATCATGGCTGGAATGAAAAATATTTATGTTAAAAAGCTTTTAATTGCTTTGATTGACAAGATGAAATGACCCTCTAATTAAGACTTATTATGCTGAATTCTCAGCAATCCTAACCTCCAAAATCCAGCTTGTAGGGCTGTCCGTTTATTTTGAACTTCAAGGTGTCTGTGGGGTTTAGCTGGTACTTGCTCTCGATGTCATCACTGTTTATGGAGCATTCAGACGAAGTGCCTGTCTGTTGAAACAAACTAGCACGTTGGAGTTAAACTGGAAAACAAAGTCTCTGAGATCAAATTGAACCACATGCTCTGCTGACCCTGCGTTTGAAGTTATGCCAGTTTCCACTGTGTCCTTCAAACTGCCACTGAGGTTTGGTGCCCACAGAAAGGTTCTTGAACGATGTGGCTAGATGAGCGGCTCTGTAATGAAATCAAACTTTGGACTTACAGCATTTAAAAGACATGTTTATGGCTGTTAGTGCTAGCATAGTGTTAGTGGACCATAAAAGCAAAAATGGCTACATTAGCTTAGTGTAAAAGAAATTAGGACAACCTAAAACATCCTGTGCATATTTGAACATGAAAATAAAAATTCAATTAAATAGTGTTTCAAAAATAAATTAGTGAGTTATAATTGGGACACCCAAATGACACTTGACACATGACACTAACAATGTCTAAAATTACACATTGGTATTTTATATGACATGCATTTCATAACAATGACATTCTTCTGCATTTTCAAAGAGTGTTTCCCTGTTTAAATATCCAACATTTTCAGTCTGAGGCTTTTCGACAGAAAGATTTTTGCTCTGATTGGTGTTAAAGTCAATCTATCTACAACCAGACAGATATGTTGATGTTTATGCTTTAGGGGTCAAGTTTCAATAATTTCAAGTTCAGTTTCCTAAAACTTTGCTCGTCAGTTGAAAGACTGATTGGAGGAACTTATTCTCAAAGTACAGGTTGTTTTCAGAGTTTATGTTCACAAACAAACAATAACAACCCACAGTTCCAGTTGTAGGCAAGTAATTCTATCACCTACTATAACCTATTTTAGTAATTATGCAATAAAGTGATGTTCACGAATAGTGCTGTGCTGTGGACTGTGGAGTTTTATAGATTTTGAGCATGCTACCGGAAAAACTTGTAAACAAATTATAAGTTGTTTACTTTAGAGAAGATTAAGTGTTTATTTCCATTCTATCATTGAACCAGATCCAAACTTACCCTGCGTTTCCTTGTTGCTGTCTGAACACAGGTCGTCGTGTGACCTTCCTATTTTTCTTTTTTCCCACCTGCTGCATTTCTGTCAAAAGTCAGAAACGAGTCAGAGAAGTTACAGTGAAGCATGTAATGAATGTGCTGCATCTGGTCGGAGTCGTGCGGTTAAAGAATCCGTCATATGAATCGGTGTGAGTGTAAGTCACCTGGAAACTTAATTTGAAAAGTTTCCCCACCAGACGTGAAAGCAAAAGAGCTTTTCGGGTTGCTCTGAAACTTCCTCTCTATGTCGGAGCTTTTTACCGGACCCGGATTGCCTTTCGAGTCCTGCCCACAACAAAGCAAACATGACAAATAAGTCATCACTCAAACCTACCGTATGCGGTTTAAACAAGAATATAGATGCAGAAGCCCTCACCTTGTCTCCATACTTCCTCCACTTCTTTCTTAAGGTGCAGTACCAGTCCCACACAGTGTTGCCATCATCCAGCCGCCTCACCTTCAAGTTCTTTCCATAGATTCGTATTTTGTTGAAATCTATACAAACCGCCCTGCAGGACAGTGACCTCACTCTCACCTTGTTGATATTTATTTTCACTTTGTAACAATTTAATACAGTTTTAAGATTTAAATAAAGGAAGATAAATATAGATATATATATATATATATGATTAAACATTTACCCATATGGTGTGTTGTATATTTTGATGCTTTTAGTGTGGGGCAGAGAATACTGAGCCTCAATAATATAATCATTTTCAACATCCTTCCAGCCCTTTCCATCATTTATCTGCCACTGATAGGGTCGACCATCAGTAAGTTGGGGATCTGGTTGAAAAACAAACATACATTTAATTTGAATGTGGTAAGCAACTAATGTTAAACAAAATAAACAAGATTTTTTTTTAAAGAGAATCGGTGACATAGACCACTGGAGCTACTTGAACAACATGATGCAATAGCAAGAATAAATCAAAGTTAATAGCTTCTTACTGCTTGCTGCTGATTGGTCTTCGGACCTGGCACACTGCCCAGATGATCTCCTTCCTCCCAAACTGTGACTGAGTTTGCAGCTTGACCCGTAGCGGCAGCTTCCTTTTAGAAAATACTTGCACACATGCAGGTAAGAGCAGCTGGCCCCATTCTTACAACCGCCACGGTTGTAATATTTGCAGGGTTGCTTTGTGTAAACCTGAAAAAGGGAAAGAATGATTCAAGAAAAAGAGAGAAGCTTTGGTTTGGATAAGTTGTTTCCTAAGTTTATGTGTGTTTGTGTTTGGAAACTAACCTGTCTGTCATCCTCTGAATCTGACTCCTGCTCACTCTCCGACTCAAAGTCTGACTCATCGCTGACTTCTGAATCACTTCCAGAAAAAGTTTCCTCGTCAGACTCTGAAAAATATTTCACTTAAGTATCAGGTTAAGCCAGGATAAGCCATCCTTTTCATGATCATCATCATATGGTTAACTTTGGGAAACAGGCATTTCAAAATCATTGCACAGGTTTCTTGTTTGTTAAACGGTCCAATAAATATGAGATCTCACAATTTGTCACGTTACAAACAATAAATGTTATTGGAAATTTACGTCCCAACAAAAAGTAGGGCAGAGCCATTAAGCAAAAGAAAACAGAAAGTTTTTGTCAAAATTACATAAAAATTAAAAGTAATACATGCTTCTTCACTAATTTCCTTTAGAGGTTCCCCTAGTAATTGAACCTCTATAGTTTTTTTTGTTTGTGGTTATTCAATAAGTAAACAAACAAAGCATTCATACATGTAGTCTGCCCCCTGCTGGTCAACTCGTGGAGTCGTTTTAGTTTCACTTCTCTGCTCGTCAGGAAACCAAAGTCCAGATTTACTTAGCTTTAATAATGTAGGCCTATGTTAAATCAGGGAAGCACAAAAGTCTCAACCATTAACTGCAACTACAAGAACTTTATAGATGTTTTTTGTTCAGTGCTTTTTAAAAGCTCCAACTTGTCAAACTGCAATCAGTAGCTGGTACGACACGTCACTGAGACTTTAAACGTCTTTTTTTCTAATACTTACTAATTCATCACATATAACACACTTTTGTTGTTTGTATTTAAGTATATATTTAGAAAAAATGACATTATTTCACAATAACTATCGGCGCTAAATAAAGAAAGAAAAAAAAACGGAATATAAAAATACAATATATAACACACAGTATTGCAATTTATTCTAGGTTTTGTATTTTTGTTTTTTTCAATCGTATTTACGCCAGTAGAGATCAGAGAGAAAGCCAGCTCACCATAAGCAGACGCCATCGGCGGGTTATAATAAAAATACTTTCGTTTTAGTCCTAAGCGCAAAGCTGGGCCTCTGCAGGAAACAGAAACCACTCCCAGGACTGGCACTGAACTGGCCCAACAGTCCAAGTTATAAAAACATTGCAATCAAAATCGAAACAACAGTTTTAATTTTCTTAAGAAGAAAATGTGAACAATCAGGGAACAATGTGACCGTCTCCTGCAGTGATTTGGTATGTGAGTAACAATCAGTCGTCCACAGTTGCATTCAAGTAAGAACAGCTTGCGGACGTTTGTGACTCAAGTAGATAGTTAGACTGAAAAGTAGTGGAGTCTCAAGGAACTAATCATGACATACGGTTTAATTTTTTTGAGACCTAAAATGGCATTAAATGAAATAAGAATGCTTTTTTTTGTCAGTTGTGTGACAACCTGGACGATAGATGGCGACATAGAGATGGCTCTGCTGGCTTTTTAAACTCACGAAGAAGAAAGTAGGGACCTTTGGAAGTAGGAGCGACCGTTAACCACTACCAAGGACGCTTCGTTGGTAAATGTTTCTGTAAAGCAGAATGGACATAACTGCACAGCCAGACCACGCCTACACCAACACAATGTGTGACGGGATTATCCCGACGGAGTTCACTTATAAAAGTAAGAGACGACGGTTTAACTATGCTAGGAGTTAGCTTCGGAGCAACCTAGCAAGGCTACTACATAGTGAAGTATTAAAATTAGGCTTGAGTATTTATTGAAGCGACTGCAACTTATTTCAGACGTTTTAGTCTGGTCTTTAGCCACATTTTAGACAGGATGACCAAAGTCTTTATGAACTAAAGTAATATTAAAATAATTTATGCTAGCTTTAGATAGTAAATTGTAAATAGCAAGGCGAAGATTCAGTGCAGACTTCCTTAAATTCAAATTGAACTTTAATTCTTGTATTGTGGGTCTTCATTTTGCACTGAGAAGCGTGTAGGAACCCCGTCAGTATCTAACCCTTGTCATCCTGTTTTTACTTTTTCAGTGAGCAACAAAGAAATAGAGAACTTTGTGAAGTTGCGGGTCTCAAACAGTTACCTGTTCTCTGGACTGAGAAACAGTTCCAAGTGGGCGTGGAGGTATGTGTGGCTTCAAAACCATCCCTAACACCCAGTTCTACAATCAATACATATAATGTACTTTCATCAAAAGTATTTTAGAAAATTTTGATGAAACTACAATTGAAAGTTCACTCTCGTCCTTAAAGGTTTCCAAAAATAATTAGTCTTACCTGCTGTTTACAAAACAAACTGTAGACTCCACACTGTTACTAATTATTACATGACAATAAAATCAACATGGAAAGTCAATGTTTGAAAAACTAAGTACACCCCAACATGTAGTATCGTTTTGAACTGTCCTGTGAAACAGGAACTACTTTTTCAACTGCTTCTGTTTAGGACACTTATTAAAACAACTAGATTGCTATCTGTCGGTAATCCAGAGAAATAATATCATTTTCAGGGCCATCCTGAAACATATGGGCTTGCATCACAGGATGACTCATCGGCAAGCCTCTAAAAAATTTGAAAACCTGAAGAAGAGATACAAGGTACAGATTTGGTTGCCTTAGTTGAGTTAAAAGTTTTACCATTTTACTCTTTTTACTATTTTGTTTCACTTCTCCTCAGGAGTTAAAGAATCCTCCAGCAGGAGTCAAAGTGGTGCCTCAGTCATGGCCTTTCTTTTCCCTGATGGATGATGCCATGGAGGGTCGACTGCAGAGTTCAGCCCCTATCCTCAAAGCCCTTCCTAATAACAGCAACGTTAGTGATTTCTTAATAGCACCCACACGCAAAAGGAGAAAGGTTCCCAACATGGCGGTGTCTTCTGCAGTAGATGAGGCAGCAGGTATTGCAGAGATCGAGGTTCAGGTGTATGGAGATCAGCTGGAGACTGCTGCGACAGAGCCTGCAGAAAGTGAGGAGGCAAACGGTTCCATTCCGGAGGTGGATATCAGCATGAACTGCGAGCCACAAGAGCGAAAGAGCGAACAGCTGCTTATGCAAAGAGAGAAACTGTATCAGGATGTAGCCGTTTTGGACCGAGAACGGGCGCTGATGGAGAGGGAGAGGGCGGCAACGGACAGGGAAAGGGCTGTGATGGAAAGAGAGAGAGCAGTGATGGAGAGGGAACGGGCTGTGATGGAGAGGGAGAAGCTGATGCTGGAGAAGGACAGAGACGCTCTGCGCAGCGAGAGGTTGGCTCTGGAAAAGGAAAAAGCAAAGTGGCAGAGACTTCTGGTGCAAAACGAAAGAACAGAGGAGAACACGGAAGAAGACATCAAGGTGATGAACTCTGATGCGGTGGATAAAAGAGAGAGAGTTCTTTCTTTATTGGAAAAATTGGCAGAGAACATTTAAAAAAATCAGTACAATGACAAGTTTGCACTACCTTAACCTTTGGAGGAAAAACTACAGTGCCTTGCAGAAGTGTTTATACCTGTTGCATTATTTTTCATTTTGTCAATTTAAAACTAAAAACTTCATAGCATTTCAATGGTAACTTTATGTAACAGACCAACAGAAAATAGTGGATTAATCAGTCTCCCAGTTGCAAAAGTTTTTTTCAGATTTTTATTTGTAAAACATTTAGAAAGCCAGGTATCATTTACCATAGTACTTTATGTTGGTTTGTCACATAAAATCCCAGTGAAACATGTTGAATTTGGGTTTTAGAATGTGAAATTCAAGGGGTTATAATTAGAGGTGTGCCGATCGATCGGCCACTGATCATAATCGATGAAAAAGTGTATGATCGATGATCGCCGATCACAATCTCTTGTTGCCGATCACCAAAACCGATCACATTTATCTCACTTCTGAGCCTGCGGGTCCAGCTGTTCTCCTCTTTACTTCACGCTGCGCAACAAATCCTGTCGTGTGGAACTGTGCTCTTAGGACATTTGGATTTAGGAGCTCGGGATTGTTTATTTTGATGCATTTGACTTTGAATGAATGTTTTCCTCTTTGACATTATTTGATAATAAGTGTTATGAGATTTATTTGATCCATGCATAATTTAGGGTACAGAGAACCTTATTGTTAAATATTATTTAACTGGTTGCAGGTTTTCAGTTGTCATTTTGACTGAGTAGCTGCTGTATTGTGCCTGTAAGGATGTTGCATGTTTACGTTAATTAGATAATATTTTAATATTCGGCCTTATGGGTGATCGGTATTGGAATCGGCAGCAAAAAACCTGATCAGAGCATCCCTAGTTATAATACTTAAGCAAAGCACTTGAATAAAATTGCACCGCACATGATTGTATACAATTCCTCTAATGGATATTTGCTATCCTGCATATTGTTCCAAATGTGGATGTTTTGCAAAGAATGCAGATATATTTATGGTCATATATTTATTTTCTATTTTGTGTTGTCACGGAAGTTAAAATCTACGAACAATCTTTTTAAGTTTTCAATAAAAAGAAAAACAAAAAACATTGAGTCACCTCCACATTGGAGAAGTCTTTAAAACGACTTTATTCTCTTGTGGTTATTCCATACAGGGCACACAATGGCAGTATTCTAAAACCGGTCCACAACCAAAAAAATAAAAAAATAAAAAGAACAAACCAAACCCACCCACCACCACCTCCGTAACCTAACAATAGACTTTATTTAATCGACTAGACATTAGAGTTCTTGATTTAGATTATTGTGCACAGTAAAAACAGGACCTTTACAGTCAAATATAAAAATTATGTCAGTTTGTGTAAAGAAACAAAATCTAAATATATTTATTTTATATTACAGTACAAACTTTACAACCAGAAGTTGTTTAAATGCATTGGGTTTATTACGTTGCAACAATTCTTATCCAGCTCCAGCTTCATTAAAGTCTTTGCTTGTACACATTGCCAAAGAAGTGTTAGTCATCAATCTTAAAATTAATATTTATTTATTTTTTACAAAGTGAAACTTTAAACAATACATTACTGGTTGGTTTTTGGAAAAGACTGAACAGAAAAATAAACATCCGGTGAGGCTCTTTGAATATAGCAGATTTGTACTTCTGACGTATTGGCAAAATAAAGAGTTTGTGTGCTTGTATGTGTATTTGAGTAAAACTTTATACAATTTATATTGTGTTGGCATGAAAATACTGAGCAGGAACAGGAAGAAGGTAGTGTATATGTGCTTGACTGTTGGAATATCAGTCGTATTTGCTCTTTGGGCGATGTTGAACATTTCCGCACAGATTGCACACAGTTTTACAGATTGGCTCCATCTGTCAGCAGCATGTAGGAAACACACCTTTGGAAATGACTGGTAATTTGAACAATGGATATAGCTTAACTCCGCATGTCAGTATGTACAAAGAAGTTTGCAGGAGTCGAGGTTAAATGAGATTCCCGATGGGTATACGGGGCAGGCAGATGTAAGCCTGCGGGGTCTTGCTGAGGTTGATGGGGTTTCCGTCCAGACGGATGTCCTCCAACGCGTTTCGGATGTAGTTGAAGTCGTTCAGGTTGCAGAACGTGTCCTCGTGCATCATCTGAATGTTGTTACGCTGCAACAGAAGAGGCAAAGAAGGCTTTTCAGTCATTTAGTCTCTTGAGAACTAGTTGATTTAGTTCTGAAGTCTAAACCATTCATCTTGAAGTTTGGCAATTAGGAAGAAGAGAGCTGTGCTATTTTGTAATGGTTGTTCTGTTTGGAAAGACTTAATTCAAATGCAACACCCTGTACTGAAAAAGATAACCCCTCCATTAGTGTGCAGTCAACAGCAAGAGATGAAGCCAGACTTTGTGTACCTGTAAGTGTAGCGAGCGTAGGCTGTCTGGTAGAGGCACTGGAATATAATCGACGTCGTTATCGGTGAGGTAAAGGTACAGCAGGCCAGTCATGTCCTGTAGTCCAGAGAAGAGCAAAGATATTACTTGATTTAAAATTTCATTTCATATAAAATGCTCATTGATTCTGCATTTATCTAATTTGAGGGTGGAACTCTTGCTGCCATGAACTTTGTGTCCTCTTTGTCTTTCAAAGAAAGTACTCATGGTTCTATGATTTTGTGATTTTACCAATGGAAATCACTTTTTTTCCTCCTTTCTGACAGAAAGGTCTATTTTCAAGATTTGTGGTAGGATAAAATGTAATTAACTCTGTATTTTTTGGACATAGTTAACTTGTATGATTGGTTTCTATCCAATAGAAAGTCATTCTGTTAACTTTTAAAACCTTTTGATGACAGATTCCCCGTTTGTTTAGAATCAGTATTTGGAATCTGGCTTAAAATGGATGAGTCTGCCTCAAATTTTCTATCAACTTTGCAACCACACACAAGAACTCATTGAAAGAAATCTACTGAAGAATATGTACGTACTTTAAATGCCTCTTTATGAATACCCTTAGAGCCAATGTTGTTGTGGCTGGCGTCAATCAGGGTCATGGTCTCAGGAAGGGCAGGCAGCTGTGAGATGTGATTTTCTCTGATGATCACCTCCTCCAGCTCAGGCAGGCCCATAAACGTTCTATCCTCAATGGAGGTTATTCTATTAGCAGTCAGGTCGATCTTCTTCAGCTTGTCTGGAAGGCAATAAAACATCATCCTCAGATACTGGCGCTGTGTGTTCACTGACCTCTCACACCTACTTTGGAGTTGTAAACAGTGGAAAGGTTAACTTTGCTTCTGAGCATATCTGCTCTAATAACCGTACGTTTTCATTCAAACAGGACATACTCATGTTGGCGAAGTCAGACTTGCTGATCTTTGTGATTCTGTTGTAGCGGGCGTAGAAGTGAGTGGTGTCTTTGGGCAGAGGTGGAACACTGTTCAGCTTCAAGTCGTCACAGTAGACCGAACCACCGAGGCATGTGCACAGCAAGCAAACAGGCAATCCTGGAAAACACCAAGAGCGAAAAGGGACAGAAGAATAGAAACAGAACACAATAAATCATAGAAGGAAAAATATATGTTTTAATCCCAAAAGCCCCCTTGCAGGATTAAGGCTGTTCAAAATGGTTTAAACCTCTTAAACTGAAATGACCCAAAGCCCAACATTTATGCAAATATGAGCACTTACAAACACTACAGTAAAACCATACTTTATGTGTTGAATATCTCCAGTCACAGTATATTTGAGGTTTTTCACTTTTTACTTTGTGCTTCATTGGTTCAACTGCTTTGATCTTTTAAAACTCCCAGTCTGGATTTGGCTCTGAACAGTACTGACCTTCATCGACCTCGGGCTCCTCTGGCTCCTCTGGCTCTGGGAAGCCAGAGGGCCCTGTATCTTCTTCTACACTTGTTTTCCCCTCCTGAGGGGATTCAGTTGTGGTTGGAAACAGCTCCTCCTCTTGTTAGAGACAAGATTAGGTGTTAAAAAAAGAGGTTAGATTGAGGTGGACACGAGACAGGAAGCGGCAAAGCAGTTTAGCAGTGTTAAACAAGTGTTTATGCATTTTTCTGGATTAGGATTACACAAACCTCACTTTTTTGGGTTAATGACATGAAATGTAATTGCCAACAAGGTTAGAGAAGATGTACTTGAGACAAAAACCACATAAAACAAGTTGGGGTGTCTAAGATCCAATCTTCCGTTTTCCTTTATCTTCAACACACAATTCTATCTTAGGTACTGACCTTCTGGTTCTCTGGGTTGAAGTGTCACAAGGACCTCAGTGTCTTCTGAGCCAGAGACACTAGGAAGTCCAGAGGTTCCAGAGACCTCTGAATCTACAGAGGCTTCAAAGTCTACAGAGACGTCAGGGTCTCCAGAAGGTGTCCCAGAAGCACTCAGTGCCTCTTCAGGGATTTTATCCATAGAAGGGAGAAGCTCCTCCTCTTGTTAGAGCCGAGGGTTGGTGTTAGGAGTTGGAGGTTAAGAGGGATAATCAATCACACTCACATTTAGAATGAAACAAGATGTTAGAAACTCAGGATTGTGGTGAAAAAGTTGAATACAATCATAATGTGTTGCACAAATAATCAACATTTAACTACATTATTGAAGAGAGCAGTTAAATGGAACAACAGTTAATTAGCATGAATCACACGTTCATTCAAGGTACTAACCTCCAGATATCAAAGTTATCCCTGAATATCCTGACTCAATAGAGTCCCCAGAAACCCCAGAGGTTCCAGAGGCCCCAGAGCTCAAAAGATCTCCAGAGAACCCAGAGCCAGACTGGTCTCCAGATACTCCGGTTTCAAAGGGGGGTTCAGTGACCATTTTAAAATCTTTAGGGAGAGAGTCTCCCGAGGATCCAGAAAAACCAGACCCGGTGACGTCTCCAGATCCTGAGATGTCCCCAGATATCAAGAGACTCCCACCTGTCAAGTACTCCCTAGATCTACTGGTTATAATGAACTCTTCTGGATCCCCAGATATCAGGATAATGTCACCAGAAAGATCCCCGGAGCCACTGGAGACCAGGAAGTCTCCTGAGATGGCAGACCCAGAGCCCCCGGAAGCTGCTGAGGTTTCTCCGGACCCTACAGAGCCTCCAAAATCCCCGGAAACATGAAGAGTATCGACCGTTGCCTGACGCAGCTCCACCTCTTGTTAGAGACAAAACGAGGTACTGATAAACAGACAGACAGGACTGAAACAGATCATTGATCAGATTTGGAGAACAATGATGATTGGGTTAAGAACATGAGAAACAGACACAGTCAAGACAACACATTTAACCACTGACTGCCAGTTAAATGGATAACATGCAAATGGAAAACAGAACTGCTGGGATGGGTTGAGATGAAGGACGAGTGGAATACCCGGTTATGCCAATAAAGCTACTTTCACAGCTTATGTGTGCACTCATACGTCAAGTAGTAATACATTTAAGATCTAAAAGTATGTGCTTCTTCAGACCTTTCTCTGTGTCTGGACCCATGAGGACACCAGATCCACCAGAACCCTGAGGGACACCTGCAGGTTTCAGAGGCAATCCTTCTTCCTCTTCATCCTCCCCTACCTGTGGTAGGATAGTTAAAATCAGATCGGATTAAGGTCAGATTTTTAATTTCTCATAAATTGGCATTTTCTAGCAGACAATATTTACATAAGAAAAATACATTCTGAGAACCCAAGTATATTTTTGAGAAAGCGTGTACTCATTGTGGGGAAAATCGTTACTCATGTTTGAGTGCCATTCATATGCTGGTGGTGGAAAACTATTATACTGAATGGTGACACCTATTTCCATTGTTGCCATGCAGTTTTTATTGAATAATTTCAAGTCATGGATTTACATAAACTTTATTAGGTTCCTTTGTGTCTTTCAACACTGTTTTGTCTCTATGGTTCGTGTTTGTTCCCCATTTAAGGTGCTTCCTGCTGCTCTCTGCATATTTTTCACACCTGCTTCTTATTTTTTAATCATCACACCTGGCCGGTTTCATGTCGT